CAGAGCAGGCTCGGAGTTGACTGGTAGCCATAGCCAAGGCCACAGAATCCATGGGTTTGGAGTTGGCTGGGGTGAATGTAACTCAAAATTTCTGAGAGGTTTATTTTGGCTCATGGTTCACTCCATGGCTGACTGGCTCCAAGGCAGAAGTGGCGTGGCAGAGGAGCATAGTGGAGGAAAGCTGCTCACATCATGGTGACTAGGAAGAAGCTACACCATTTTTTACACAGGACTTGAATGTCGGCTGATTTTGGTACCCAAAAGAGAACCCTTGAATGAATTCTTCACAGAGATTGAGGGAACCAATGTATCAAGGCCACCCCTGAAAGGCTACTGGTGCAGCCACCACATTTTCAGTTTATACCCATGTATCCCGTGGAAAATTCTGTCAGCAGTGAAGTTGGCCACCATTGTGTGACTGGCTGCTCTACTCTGGGACTGTCCTCCCAGAAGCTGTACAAAATGTATCCGTCTGTCTGTCCATCAGTCCCAGGAGAGAGGAGTAAGCCTGCAGCCATGGATTCCCATGCTGCACTAGCTGACTGCATCCTGCAGGGCATGAACTCCCTAGCACATACAGGTTGTATACGTGTGGGGCTGACCATGTTCCCTGACAGAGTCTACAGGTAAAGGTCCCAGGTGACGTTAAGAGGTGTAAACAGAGGCACAGCTCTCGGGTTACATTGGCATGAAATGGTCACAGCCCTTGCAGGACTGGCACTGCAGTGGTGGCCAGATCAGGATATAGATGAGTGCAAGAGGATAGAAAAAGAGTGTTGCATCGTGGTAAATGATAAAGTCCCAAAGATTACACAGCGTGGTACCCTCATTTAAATATAAACTGCCATAATTATATGCACCTGTAAAGCAATAGATACAGATACAAGAGAACTATAATAAAAGCAAATGTGTGATGAATGAGAGTTCGGGTGGTTACCTTGGGAGGGGAGAGATTGGGGTGATGAGATGGGAAACAGTTACAGATAAACAAGCATAGGTTGCTGTCATATTCTTGTTTCAGTGCTACATACATAATAAAAAGTAATTGGGAGGAAAGAGGCCATGTGGACCAATGATCAAAATGTAAGAATGTCATGAACCGAGGATTAGAATGAGTCTGTGCACTAGAGGTCCACAAAAACCGTGCAAATTGGTGCTTCTAATTTGGGCCCTGGATTCAGACTCGGGCTTTGCAGAAGCATCGTCAGGGCCAGACTGGGCGGCAGTGCTCCCTGCTGGCCGCCAGAGGACGGTAGCTGCTAAGAGTGGGATCCCTCGGAGCGCGGTGCGGTTTATTTTTGCGCGGGGATTGAGCGGTGCCCAGCTGGGAGGGAGTGGCGGAGGGAGAGAGCAGGCGCAGCTGTTGGCAGGGAACCCAGGGGGCTCCCCGGGGGGAGCCTCCGCCCCTCGCTGCCCCAGGTTTCAGGAGGAAGCAGGTGGCAGCCCGGGGTGGGGTGGGGGGCAGGGCACCTTCCAGGGCTCCGCCCTGACTTCCTTCTGCCCTGCGTGCCCAGAACTGCAGAAGGCGATGCCCGAGGTCCCCACGGGGACGCCCGCCGCAGCACTGGCCGCCTGTTTGGCCTAAAGTGTCCTTTTAAAGTTTCTTTGGCAACATTTACTAATCTGGAGATGTTTCACAGGAAAACTCCGGGTTTCCATTTCTCTGGGTCACTGGGGCATCTGACCACCCCAGCAGCTGGCAGCCCTTGGCCACCGCCCCCTCCGCTTACACCTGCTGACAGCCGCCCCTGTTCGGGTGGGGTCAGTATTGGGTGTGGTCGTGATTGCGGCAGAATTGGTCGGTGTTCAGAGCTGCACTGGCGGCACACTTCATCTGATATTACAATTCCCTTCTTTTTTTTTTTTTTTTTTTTTTGGTACTGAGGATCGAACTCCAGTCCTTGCGCTTGCGAGGCAGGCGGCGGAACCACTGAGCTAAATCCCCGGCCCTACAATTCCCTTTTATTGCACAACTCTTCCTGAAGTTAATTATTATTATTATTATTATTTAGTTTTCCACATACATAGAAAATAACAATAAAACCTTAACAATCCACCAGTTGTCTCAATGTGTTTGCAAGGTCCAGAGGCACCACGTGTTCTGTGGTGGTCTCCATGAGACAGTCCCTCTCGGTGACCCCTGGCCTCTGACCTAGGCCACTGTCCTTTCCATCACAAGGTTACCAAACTTTTTTTCAGCCCTGGGAATAATGCCTGGGGGTGCTCTACCACAGAGCTACATCCCAGTCCTTTTAATTTTGAGACAGGTTTTCACTAAGTTGCCCAGGCTAGTCTCAAATTTGTAATCCTCCTACCTCAGTCTCCTACCGTAGCCCCTCCATTTCTGTGGCCGCTTTTCCTTGGGGCAGGAGCACAGCCACCCTCCTGTCAAAGAACTCACTCTTCCTAGTCACAAAGCTGGGGACATCTGGCCTCTCACGTGAGGTGAGTGGAGCAGATTAGCTTCTCACCTGTTCCCTGAGGCTGGGGTGCAGGTGACTTGTCCAGGTCCCAGGGTTCCTTGGCCACCAACAGTGATGCTCCATAGGGAACTGTGGGGTGGGGTTTGAAAAGGCCATCAGTTGGGTGTGGTGGCGCATGCCTATAATAGCAGTGCTCTGGGAGGCTGAGGCAGGAGGTTCTCAAAGTTTGACCCCAGCACAGGTAAGTAACTTAGTGATGTAGTGAGACCCTGTCTCAAAAAGTGAAAATTTTTTAAAAGGTTGGAGATGTAGGTCACTGTGAAGGCCCTGGGTTCAATCCTCAGTCACACACACACACACACACACACACACACACACACACACACACACACGAGGTGCTTCATAAGTTTTACTCCTAATGTTGCCATGGATGCAGCAACAGGAAACATTTTACTTCCATCATCACTAGCTGACACCACTCATCCCCTTCCTCCACTAATGAACTCCGCCTCCCATCTGCACCAGCTGAGGGCATCTCAGATCTCAACCGAGCATCACAAGCACCACCCAGGGCTCATTTCACAGCAGGGGGCCTGCATCTGCCAGCATCCTGGGATCTGGCATTTCTAATACCCATGTGGCTGGACCACTTTGTGGGCAAGGCTTAGACGATTTCTGGCTCCCAACCTGGGCCTACTACACCTCAATTCCTTGAGGGCCAGTTTCTTGGCACCCCAGGTCATGGGGCACAGTGGTGAATCAATCCACACTTGGGTTCAGAGGCTGCTCACCCATGGGCAGCTGTGTGGCACTGCCCTGCTGGATATATCATCAGGCCCTAGGGTTGAGGCTGCAGCCCAGGGTCAGTGAGTTATCCTGGGGACCACAGGGCCCTTTCTCCCAACAACAACACCCAAAACTGCCACCTCAGAGCCAGCTCCGTGCAGAGCCTGCCAAGGGGGCAAGGACTCCTAGGTGCAGGCCCTGCTTCTAGAACTCCCTCAGTGCCTCAGCAGCCACTGGAGCTAAAAGGGCTGGAGGATCAGAGGGCCTGAAATGCAGGGCATGAAAAGCCAACATCCTTTCCTTCACCAGGTTAGGAGCAGGCTCTGGCAGGGGTGACACCCAGCTCACCACTAGCCTCACTCCTCCCGCTTTCCCTGGGACCTGCCACACCACCAGGACCACCAGGTGCTGCAGCTGTTTCCTACCAGCTTTTCATCACTGGCCTGTGTCCACAGTGGGTCCCAGGATCCTGCTGAAAACAGCCCCCCAGGGCTGACTTTGAGTGTAAGGTCCAGGAAACTAAAGGTCATCATGTTTTCCCGCATCCCAATCCCTCCCCTCCCTGTCCACCTCCAGTCAGTCGGTCACTTCCGCAATACTCACCTGCTCATTACCCGTCATCTCTGGGGTCTAACACCAGGAGGGCTCCTCTAATATAAGCAACTTGCTGTGTTGTTGAATCACAGGAGGGTTGCGAGGTAGGTGGCACAGGTTTTTCTCCCGCTTACACACATAAGGGATTATGTGTGCAATCTCACAGAGATTGTCAATGACGCAGTGTCATGTGGACAGAGTGGGAGTACTCCCACCGGACGTGGGTCTTCTGACTCTCAGCCTGGGTTTCTTCCCACCACCCTTAGCCTTGTTGTTTAAACATTTACTCTGGGACTAGCAGTTCAGCCACATTGACAGTTCATTGGGAGGCCATGGAAACCTCAGTTTCCACAAGGGCCTGTGACCTAACCGGCCCCCTCAAGTCCAGCCTCCCCTCCTAGGCCCAGTCTGAATGGGATTGTCTCTAGAGACCATACCTGGCTGCAGGCTTTTCCTTCCTTCCTCACCGAGCAGACTCTAGCTCCTGCTGCTCTCCTACCTGACTCTCCCCTGCCTTCCTTGGTCTCCCCAAGGGGGTTACCAACTGATCAAACCAGCTTCTCATTCATCAGGGAGCTGCATTATCATGGCAGGGGGAGCTTCTGGGTCCCCTGCCTCCCCTGGAAGCGCTCTCCTCAGCTGAGTCTCCTCTGTCCTGTTCCTGAGGAGCCACCCAGGGCTGCTCAGGCCTCATCAGCAGACTGGGCCGAGGACACGCAGGGGAGCTTACTGCCCTAGACAGTCCAATTTCCTCATCTCTGAAACAGGGTGCTGCACCCTGCCCAGAGGCACTGGGATTGCATTCACTGTGACCATGAAGGTGCTGTCCTCACACACATCACTGATCAACAAATGTTTGCTGCACTTCCCTTCCCTCTTTCTAGCCAACCAGGCAGCCCAACTGCAAGGAAATAGCAAATTTAGGACAAGATGACTTGTTACATAAACATGGCCCTTAGCTTCCTCCAAAGCCCCTTCCAAAATGAGCAAGTTCATGCTGTAGGAGAAGAACACGAATATAAATTTAAAGCTGCACATATTCACCTAAAACTCAGCCCTATTACTGTTGCCCCCAAAACAAAACAAGTCTAGCAGTTTAGCAAGAATTCACAGAGGACAGGCTTCAAGGCCATGTGCCACACACAGACTTGAGTGAAAAAGCCTTGGTTTTACACACTTCTCAAAAGAAAAGCCTTCTGCAATTGGCTAATATTTTATTTAAAAACACGCAACACACACACACACACACAAACACACAATGGTAACACAGGCAGAGACAGGGAAAGGAGGCAGCAGGCTGGCTGCATGTTCCTGCAGGCACGCCTGCCTTAAGAAAGAGTCTCTCCCAGATCAGACTTCATGCTAACCAAGGAGCTGGCTTGGTTTCCAGAGGACTTGAGGCAGCTCCACTCCCCTGAGGAACATGAAAGAGAAGCAAATTTATGCAGCAGATTCGGAAGCCCCTCCAGCGTGTTCAGTGGGGTTGTCAGTATCTGAGGTGGTGGAGGCAGAGTGCCGTGAGGCTGCTTTCCTCTCCCAGAAGAGGAGGACCGTCCTCTGACGAAGCCTGGAGAAAGAGGCTTGCCCAGATCAGGGGCTCAGGGAACGGCACATCACAAAAGCAGGAGGAAGGTGCAGGCCTTCTGGAGCCCACAGCCTGAGCAGGACTTTGGCACAGGAGCGCAGTCCAGAGCCATGTGGGGCCACTGGGCCACCGGTCTGATGGGCCTCCTCTCCTGCGGATCCTCTGGAGGGGCCAGGGGCTGTGGCCGCATCAGACGGCTGCATCTTGGGAAGGAAACGACAAGTCAGTCAGCGTGCTGGGAGGGAGCCTATGCAGAAGCCACTGGCTCTTCCTCGACTTTTGCTTTGCACAGTTCTTTCCTCTATCTACCCACACCAACTTTCACTGGCATGGTTTTTATTTTTCTTAAGTACATTTCTAAAATAGAACAAAAGGTTTTAAAACTAGTGCAGAGAGGACTCCTATGGCTACTCCTCTCTCCCTCAGCCCTGTTCCTCTGATGCTGGTGACCCCCTTTAACTTCACTTGCACTTCTTTTGGCGATTCTTCCATAACTGAAAATAATGTACTTATACAAATATTGATAGCTTTATTATTTTTACGTGTTACCTAAGCTTTTTTCGCCCCACCTTCTCCATTTTAAGAAAATTAATTTTTCTTTCTTTCTTAAGCAGCTTTACTGGGATAGAATTCCTAAGCCACACAATTCACCTGCCCAAAGTGTACAACACAGTGGTTTTTGGTATATTCACAGAATTGTCCAACCATCCCCACAATTTTAGAACACTGCTATCATCTCAAGAAGAAACCCCATGCTCTATAGCAGTCAGCTCTGAATCCTTCCTCCCCCAGGCTCCAGGCGACCACTGCTCCACTTCCTGTCTGAGGATCCGCCTGTTCCAGACATTCTGCGTGGAGCCCTGCTCCATGTGGGCTCTGCACCCGGCCCTTCCACTGAGCATCCTATGAACTCCTGGTCAGTGGGGGCTTGAAGGAAGCTGGAGCTCTGCTCTGGTCACCTTTCTGTAGCGACTCAGCACAGGACACAGGATTTGAGATTTCTAATGTGTTTTTAAGATGAAAGAAAGTGCTGTCTCAAACAGGGAGGTGGATTAATCAAAACAGTTGGTTCAGGCTTTCAGCAATCTACTATGAACTTATTCTACAGATAAAACCAATTAGGGATGTGTATAAGGATTTGCAAGGATATCCATTATAGCACTTTTCGTTAACAAATAATATTTTTTTAAAAAGCTTCATGCTCTCAAATAGGAGGCAAGTTAAATAAGCTGCAATATGGTCCTGCAACAGAGTCAGTAAAACACTACAGAGCCCTGGGAACAATGGAGAGGAATCCCCAAGGATACTGGGAAAACATCTGACAGGTGGAGGAGAAAAATGGCAGGTGACAAAGCAGCACATAAGCAACACGAACACGGATTTTCAAAGAGGAAATACTGGGAGGACAGATATTCAGGTGCTGTTTCTGGGTGGCACATGGTTTTCATTTTACAAAAATATTACTTGTACATTATAAAAGCTCTATATGTTGTTTCTGTCATTAGGAAACTTATTTCAAGACAATGCTTTCCTATCAGAGGTTGAAAGGCCAGGACATGATCGGGCTTGTAGTGCTGGGGACCAGAGCAAGGGTTCTTGGGTTCCGTTGTTCCTTTTGCTGGGCTCTGCACTCTACTCCGGAGTTGCCCTAGGGACACGGTCGCCTCCGCCACAGGGGCGTCCCTGCTGTTGAAGCCAAGGACAGCGGTCCTCTGCACAGAGAAAACTGGAACTCACCTGTTGATTGGGTCACACAGGAGATCTTGTAGGACAGCCACACACTTGCCAAGCAGAGGAAGGTGGCCAAGAACCCGAAGACCTGCAAAGGCACGAGAGAGGGGTTCATGGGCCGCAGAGCCCATCCTTGGGCAGTCCTGTCTGGTTCCCACCTGTGTGCTTGCCCCACACTATGGGTGGCTGGAAGGAAGCGTGGGAGTCACCTGACCTGACTGCCTCATCCTCATGCAGATATACAGGTGAAGCTGGGAGAGGCCCAGTCGCCAGCCTCAGTGCCCTGGGTTCCACCCACATCAGGCCCGGCACCTGGGTCTCCACCCTCAGCTCTTCTCACTCTAGACAGCCCCAGTGTCCCGGCTTGGGTTTATATTCACAACCGAGTTGGGCCCAACCCACTGGACTTTGATTATCCTGGACTAATGAAGAAGAGAAGGTCAAACTGTAAATTTTAATTTGGGCTTTAAATTTTTAATGTTCAAATGGGTTTTACTGATGTGGTGGCACTGTTTGCATTTCATTTGAAATGACTTTCTGTGTGAGGGCCAGAGGCGGAGGCCTGTATATCTAGTTTTATGTTTGCACATCTTTAAATAATATGGGCCTAAAATGAATGAGCCAGTGTTCTTTTCCCTCAGGTCCACCAGGTGCTTGAGCATGAGGAGGCTGACCTAGCCTGGCCTGAGCTCATCCTGCAGAGGAGAATCAGGGGCCTGGACACGAGAGGGCTCTGCACAGAGCTCACTGAATGGTCAGGCTGGAGCCATGGCCTACTGCCCTGAGAACCATGAGGCCCAAAGCCATGTTTCTTACTTGTGCCCAGAACTGGCAGGTAAAACCCACTGAGCACTAACCCCATAGGTGAGTTGACTCTTTGAGCTTCCCAGTTCTGCCCACCTTCTCATTTCACAGCTACAGAAATGGAGAGGCGGGAGGTCAGCTATGTGCCCATGGCCACAGAATAAGCCCAGGTCAGGTACACCTGGTATGAGCAAGGGGCCTGACTCTAGAGCCCTCGCTCTGCAGATAGTAGTCTGAGTGTCCTCGGGCCCACACCAAGGCCTCCAGGTCACCACCTTCCCACTGGTGCGTGGCTGAAGTAACTAGCTGACATCTTACAGGGATGGCCCAGGAGCAGCCAGATGAAGGGTAGGATTTTCAACAAGGTTTGCTTTTCTTTCCAAGCCTGGCTGCTGGTTTGTACAAAGTGCTGCCCCTACCAGCCTACGCCTACTTCTACCCTGAGTGCCTTTTCCTTGGCTCCCTTTGTACCAGTTGTCTGCACCACATAATTAGTCTATTAGAGCCTGTTCTGGCCTCTCATTGTCTGTTCTGCACAATTAGCACATTATATACTATCCCGGTCGCCAACTGTCTGCACTGCATAATTGAACAGCTTATTATATCACTGCAGAATGCTATTCTAGTCGACAATGCTATGTTTGCTAATTGTTTCATGTGCCCTGTCCTCATCTCCTAAGCTAGATGATCACTTTCTCATAAACAGGGACCATTTTTTTCCCCTCTGGCTTCTCCATGGCTCTGGTCTGGCCTTAGGCACAAGCCAGTAACAATAAGCCATGATAAATGTTAGGCATTGGGATTGTAGGGCTAACACAGTGATGTGCAACCTGATTACAAAACGCAGTGGGAATCTCCCCCCATGTTCCCTGGAACACAGGGCAGGAATTCCCTCTGTGCCTCTCCACTGGCTTATGCCACTGAGGGTAGGTGCTAACCTGCAGGTGGCAGCCACCTCTCTCCTCAGACATGGCACGGGGCTGAGGGTGCAAGGGGCTGTGGGAAGTTCCTGAGGGCACCAGTGTTCAGAGGCGTGGCCAGTGGCCCCTCCGTGCTGACCTTCAGAGGAAAGACTCCACCTCTGAGTGAATCCCAGGTGCAAACCCACTCTCAGGCCAGACACATACAAGTGAACACACACACAGAGCTTTTCTTAAAACGGATTTAAAAAATCTTGCCTGCTCATCAGTAAAGTAAATCAGTACTGGCCTATAATTAGCTAAGTCAGATGACAGGGATCTATGAATCTATAAAAAAAATACAGGGCCGGGGATTTAGCTCAGCGGTTCTGCAGCTTGGCTCGAAAGCACAAGGACTGGAGTTCAATCCCCGGTACTAAACAAACAAACAAACAACCATGGGTATGCATCTCCTGTGGCACTGTGTTTTTGTATATTTCCAGCTACTTTTTTGTTTGTTTTCGGTTCTAGGGCTCGACCCCTGGGCCTTATGCATGCTAGGCAAGTGCTCTAGTACTGAGCTACACCCCAACTTCCCCAGCTACTTTTATTCAAAGGTATCAGGTGGATCAATTTTTATCCCTGAAAGGTACAGAAGTGTTATTTCCTGGCATGAATACTGTTAAAAATCAAGAATGGCAAAGCTAGGACTCAGGGCAGATATCACTAACTGATCACAGTACCCTTCCCTGTGGACTCAAAAGTCTTTCTCTGCACAATGCTGAGGCAGCCATGAGCAAATGTGCAGTGGCTGTGTGAATGAGAACCCAACTGCCCCGATTTAAGCGGTGCTATAGGAGACAGGCCTGAGCTCCAGGGCTGTTTGAATTTGCCAATGGCCCTGACAGTCCACCTTCTGGAACCAGCTGCTGTGAGCCCAAGTGTCAGGCTCTTTGGAGACAGCTTCTGGCTGGATTGGAGTAAATACCGATCCCATGAAAGGGCCCAGAAACCAAGCCCTTTTCCGCCCCCATCAGGAAGAGAATTAGCATCTGAGATATGAATTGGTTCCTAAAGCCTCGGAGATCATCCTTACCGCGCCAGCTACCAGTCCACTCTGGTTGTAACTCTTGGAGGCTGCCACAATGGAGGCGATGAGGAGAAGCAGGGTACCGATTAAATAGTGCAGAAGTTCCTGGGGGTGAAAACAGAGCACAGGAGTGAGTAGGGAGGCCCACTCCGGAAGGGGAGGAAAGAATACTTCCTCTGCTCCCTTAGCCCCTGGCAGGAGGAGCAGCACAGCTCACAGGCAGCCAGGGGACGCTAACCAGGAAGAGGCCAAGCATTAGAGAAAAGATGTGGGGCAGGCAGGAAGGCGAATGTGAGAGATAGGAAGCATCTCAGGTGAGGAGCGGCATCCACTAGGGGCTGCTCCACTCCTGAGATCAATTTGCAGACTGCCTTGACCTTTGGCTGAAGCTATTAAAAGCAAATGAGCTTCTTGTACCTTCCAGGCTGGAGAGTAGAAAGGAAACTCCTTTATGGACACAAACTAAGAAGCAAAGCCCCAAAAGAGATGTGGGCTTTCTTTCTCTCTGCTTCCGAGAAAGCTCTGGGCTAACAGTGTGTGGCTGACCGCAGCATCTCTCCACTCTGTCAGTGGCCCCAGGTGTAGGCTGCAGAGTTACTGGTTCCTGGCAACCCTGCAGATTCAGGGTCAGAGCCTAGGGTAAGGTTGGCTGCACATCTGCAAAGTGTCCTTGGGATGCTGTGGCAGCTGGCTTTCCTAAGTCCGCCTGGTTTGTCCTTCTTTTGTGGTTCCTTCCTCTCTTCTCTCCTGCCACATGCCCTGTGTCAGGCTCTGCTAATCAGTCTACTGGCAGGTCTGACTCACCTTGGCCCATGGGTGTTCATTTCTACCCTTCTTACTCCCTGGGATTAAAATTGCATCTTTGGAGGCCCTGGAAGAGGCTGGACCTCAGTCACTCAGCAGCACAGGAAGGATTACACTGCCCCTTCCTGCTCCCACTGAACACCAGAGCAGAGGAGAACTGGGGCTTAAGGCCATTCACAGCACTCACTGTGAATCCTGCGTGCCTCCCTTTTCAATCATCTTCTATGAGGATTCAGAAATTATTCCTCCATGAAATTCTATCCATTTGAGTAGTAGCTATTATATTTTAGAAAACTGTTTTTCTTGGTCCTGGGGATTGAACCCAGGGCCTTCCCGCTCTTCTACATCCCCAGCTCTTTTTCATTTTTTATTCCGAGACACTTATTGCTAAGTCACTAAGTTGCCCATGCTAGACCAGAACTTACAGTCCTCCTGCCTCAGCTTCCCAGAGTTCTGGGATTACAGGTGTGCATCACCACGCCAGTTTATCCTTTCCATTTCAAAGCTTCAGCTCCTCTCTAAAATGTGAAAAAATCAGACCTGGTTTCTCCTTAGTGCCCAGAAAGGAGTGTCATAAGGAAGACCATGAGGAATCTTACTAAAGAACAGGTTAGTAACTGGAAGTTCTCAACCCCCAAGATTCTTACCATAAAGAGGAGAATGACAGGAGACAGAGAAAACTGACTTGAGAGAATCCTAACTGGAAGATACCTAAGCAGTACCAGCTAAAAAGTATGCCTGAGCCTGTGCTTCCAGCGTTTGCTCCCCAGCCAGACCCTTTGTTCCTGTTCACTAGGTCTCATTTTATTTGCCCGTTCTTTCCTTCTTTCTTTTTTCTTTTCTTTTCTTTCTTCCTTCCTTCCTTCCTTCCATTTTTTCCCATTAAGTTTATTGGTACATTTTCGGTATAAGATACAGTTACATTCATCATTGGGATTTTGTACCATTACATGAGTCTCTTGGTTCTTTTTTTTTCCCCCTTCCCTTGCCCTCCCGTCACCCCCTCCACCCTTCCCTATCTGCAAAGACTTTGTTTCCATTTTTTTTCCTCTTCTCATATTTTTTCTTTTCCCTTTTTTCCTTTCCCCTACCCCTCCCACTTCCCCTGCTCCTTTAGACCTTTTCTTCCTGTTACACAATATCAGTTATACATTTTTAAATTACAATATCAAGATCTAGGAGACATTACCACAGATTTTACAGAATTTAAAAGGGTACAGAAAGCATATTACAAAAATCTGTTTTGAAGTAATGGTAGTAATGTGTGCACAACTCTGGAAACATACTAAAGCCTTTTGAATTGGAAACTTTAAATGGGTAACTGGCATGGCATATTATTTTAAGAAAATAATACAGTGTGTGTAGGGGGATAATACAGTGGGAAGAAAAAACCTGGCAACTTCTGATCTCTCTCCTCAGGCCTGGCCAGTCCTTCTCAGCTTCCACGTGGTGTCAATCAACCTTGCTCAGTCTAAATGCCCATCATCCGTTCCACCTCTTCCTGCCATTTCCTCCTTCACTCACACACACAGTCCATTCTCTATCACTTGAGAAAATAAGCACTGAGGAAAGAGCCATGGCTTCTTCTAGAAGCCAGCAGGAGATCAGGCAGACCCAGAGGGCTGAAGCAGCAGGGGATGGCTGGGAGGTGGGACAGCAGAGGGGAAGGAACCCCTTGGTCCAGTGTCCAGCCAATGCACTGGCTTCTGCCTTCGAAGAGCAGGGCTGAGTCTCTTACCGACAGGGGCCAGCTGATGCAGGTGAGCACGCGGTAGAAGCGGAAGAGGTGGACCAGGTAAAAGATGAGGATCATTATCAAATCACAAATGGTGACCACTTCAAAGTAGCTGTAGGCACTGTAGTCGGTCCACAGAGAGCTCCGCACGCAGATGAAGGCAATCAGCAGAGTGACCTGAGACGTAAACACAGAGACATGAGAGAAACGCCTTTCCAAGATGGGTACCTGGGGAACAAACAACAGAAAGCCAACCAGTGTCCTCCTGGCAGGCAAGAATTGACAAACTGCTACAGTTCAGGATATTTCCACACAGACTGGCTGGAAGGTGGGAAAAGTTCCATTTCACACACTCCAAACTTTGAAACGCTGAGTCCTCTCTGAAGTTTGCTATGCTGCACTGGCAGGGGGCCTTTTCAAAGAGCAGGAGTGCAGGAAAACAACAAAGCAGAACCATTCCATTTGCTTGCTGGACTCCCACAGAGCAAAGAGTAGAGGGCAGTGTGGGGTTACATACTAAGTTGAGCTATATGAAGTTGCCAATATTCATCTGCTTTAGATCTACAGACAGCAATTCATTCATTACAACCTACCAGTCGGTGGGCAGTAAGTTACCCTGTTTAGTGATGTGTGGTATACATGATCTCACTGAGGCCTTGCAGAACTCTTGCTAGGAAGACAAAATCATCCTTGTTTTCATATAGCAGGCTGAGGAACACAGATTCAATAATTAGTCCAAGGATACCCAATTTGTAAGCATAGGGATGTATTTGAATTCAGGTCTGTCTGACTCCGGGGTCCATGTTCCTCCATGTGAGATAGAGCTCTTCCTTCCCCAATGTAAGCCCTCATCACAAAGCAAGCAGAGAATGGTGGATGTAGAATCCTGGTAGAGACAATGCTTGCTCACCCCAGGGCATGTGGTGAGAGCTCCCCAGGAAATACTGCTGCGTGAATGAATGGATTCATGTGCAGAATTAATGACCAATTATTGAATAAGTAGGTCAGGTGCATAATATTGGCAACATATGAATATGATGGGAGAGTAGACTTCATGAGAGAGGATTTCAAGGTTTTTGTGAAGGCCATTCAAAAAGGACAAAACCTCACCCACTGCACATAGGCAATGGACCAAACCACAGGTGTTAAATGTATACAAAGCCATAGATTCTATCTTAAAAGCACAGTGAATTTAGGTCAAATATTATTTTACATTTCTTCTTTCCTGTAAGATGGCGATTCTCAAAGGGTGTTTTGTGTGTGTGTGTGTGTGTGTGTGTGTGTGCGTGTATGCCCACGCATGTATGATTTTGATTTTGCATTTTCTGAGACATTTGGCAATGTCTGGATGCATTTTTGTTTGCCACAGCTGAGGGGAGGTGTGCTACTAGTATTTAATCAGTAGATGCCAGTGGTTCTAAAAACCTCACAATGCACATGATAGCTTCCAAAATAAAGAATTCTTGCCCCAATAGCAATTGTACTGCTGTTGAAAAATGCTGTAATAGAAAATGTCAATCTGCAATGAGAATCATATCATACAATGAATCTAACTCCAAAGTGGTTAATGATGAAAATGCTTCTATTTTCGACAGCCCCTTTTTTCTAGCACTCTATCAAGGTCCTAATATGTAAAACAGGAAAAAAAGGACTGTTGGTTAAATGCTTACAGTGGGAATGAAGAGTGCTCTGTTTAACAGATCAAAACAGAAGAGCGTGGCTTTGACACAAGGGACTCCACATTTGCTTATTCCCCTTTGCTAATGAGCAGCAGGAGTGGTTTCATCTTTCAGTTCCTCTGCAGGCAGCCAGCTGTGACGATACAATGACTCACACCTGGAGATGACTTAAGGCTGTGAAGGGAGACTTTGCCTCTCAAGAGTGTGCCTGAGACCCACTTCCAGGCCTCCTCTTTTCGGGATGTACATGGGTTTCCCCAGTGCTCCAATGACATCCTTGTGCTCTGGGGTATCATTTACCCAGGCCTATCTTAAAGCAGATAATTTGGGATTATGCAGTATGATGTCTAAACGGAGAGGCAATTTTGTACCTAATTTCAGGCAAAGATTAAAACAATTTTTACAATTCTTCATGAATGACAGAGCCAGCTCTTTCTTTTATAATGACACAGAGATGTGCAAGTTTCCCCTAAAACAAAAGGGGCCTGGGCAGATCTTGTCCCTCAGAGCACCCAGGCCTGAGTACTGTGTAGCAGGAAGTACTTATGTCTGTCATAAACCCCTCTCACCTCTCTGGGATCCTGCTTATGAACTAAGGCTTCCTTTGCTGGGGACCCTGAATCAGTTAGATCAACAGTCAAGGAGCAACAACTGGAAAGGCAAAGCAGAAGAAAGAAAGAACCAGACACAGGGGGAGAAAAGGCCCGAGGCTGCTCACTTTCCCCTCCTCCTGCTCAGCCCTCAGAACCTCCTGTTCCCAGTTAGAAAAGGGAACCCAAGCCAGGTGTGGTGGAGCACGCCTGTGATCTCAGCACTCTGAGAGGCTGACGCAGGAGGACTGCAGGTTCATGTTCTGCCTGGGGAGCTTAGTGAGACCCTGCTTGAAATTAACAAATAAAAAGGCCTAGGGATATAGATCAGTGTGCAGGCCCTGGGTTCAATCCCCAGTGCTGAAGAAAAAAACCCAGCAAATCCACTAGCCTGCATGAGTTGAGCGATGCCAGCTGAGGTGGCTCTGTGTCAGGAACGAAGGGGAGGCCCAGGGACTGTCTGGAAGACAGAGGCGCTTCTGATGGAGAAACACAACATGATGCTTCCAAAGGACTAGCTTGTTTCTTAAGGTGCCATCTAGCTCCCCTCATAGTTTTGTTCTTTTATATTCAACTATCATGAAAGTTGAAAATGAAATATCTAGCACAGATGCCCGGGATTTAAAAGTAAAGCAACAGGAGCCCTCAGCTCAAAGCAAGGGTACCCCGACTGGCTGTGACACTGTGGAGTCATTGGTATCACCTGAGATTAGAGACCTCCACCCTCCCTAAACCCACATCCTTCCTGACTCCTCTGTATCTAGTCCTTACTAGAAGAGCTCCTTTGGTGAAGGCAGTGTGGGCTTCAGTTTCACAGGAGATAAAGCAAGTTGAAATGACACAAGAGACGCAATTGTCCTGAGGTCCATATTCAAGGGGACACTCAGAGCCAGAGGGCTGTGTGCTTGCCTGGGCTCTCAGCTGGGTGAGGGTCTCTCCAGGAAGAAATGGAGTTTTGAGGTTTAAACTTTATAAATTTCTGGAAAAATCCCAAGAGGCAGTTTTCTGGAGATGTCCTTTCCCGAGTGGGCTGAAGAGGCTGAAGTGGTCACAGAGATCCTGTCGCACATCACTTGCAGCCTATGGCTGGGAACAGTCCTTCAGCAGTCCTGAGCCTTCCTGCCATGGCTAAGTCTGAGCCACTGAGTGTGTCTGTGTCTGGCTGAAGATGTTACCAGACACCTTTGCTTTAGGAGCCCTGGGCTGGGTGCTGGCTCACTCAACTCCACCCTCCCAGTCCTGACCTTGGGACGGTGTTTCAATGAGAGAACCAGGCAGGCGGAGGAGAAGTAACTGATGAAAGCCAACATCAAAGATCCCAGTGCTTAGAGGCTTTTCTGGAAGAGCACAGGAGATGAAAGCCAGACTTGCTAAAAGAAAAGTCAAGAGACTATTTATCGTACAGCTTATCCTTCGCTTATGGTTTGAAACATTTCTGACAACCCACTGTCCACTAAGCACTCATCACTAACTATAAAACACCTACAAGTCCTAAAATGTGAAACCTGTAGCTAGTATTCACTCTCTGCCCTGCATGTAGAAAGCACTCAGTTCAACACCTGGTGAATGAGGGGTTGCTGGGCCATCCTGGATCCTCTGCTACAGCTCCACAACACTCTATTGCATTTTAAAGACCCATCTCCTTCCCTTGCTGGCTTCTATCACTGTGGGGACTGGCACAGTCTAGCATGTACAAAGGGATGAATGACTTTTGAAGACTCCTGTCTGAACACCTTTAAGATGGCAGGATTTCTTCATCAGCTGCCTCCCAAGGTCTGGCATTCAGGCTCTCCAGGTAGAACATAAAGGTGAGGGTTCGATGGAAGGAGGGCTTCTAGATTCCTAGCCAGTGAGGGAACCACAACATTCTGTTTGTAACTCAGGCTGGGCCACATTCCCCTTGTCTCCAACCTACTTCCCACAACAGATGCAGCCTGGAAGGACAGTCCACAAAACAATCAAGTCACTTGCATCACAGCTGTGCTTTACCAGCAAAGGTCATCAGGAACACATTTAGGAAGATGGGCTGGAAATCTCTGCTTATCAAAAATATTACACCAGAAGTGGCGAGATGCCCCACTACATTTGTCATGTGACAGATTTGGTGGTTTAGCACTTAGGCTGAACCAAAGGCAAATCAGTTTTTGTTTGCACCAAGCAATGGTTTCTCTCTAGCTTGCTTTTCTTTCAGTAGGTGACCCCTCGTTCCCATGACAATGTTGGCCCCTGCACAGAGGCTGCCTCCAAGGGTACCCCAATGTGGACTTGGCTAATTGATGTGTGTCAGCAAAAGAGAATAGGACAGAGTAAATGGGTGAGGAAGATGTCTGGGGTCAATGCCACAGAGCTCCCTGAGGGGTGAAGGAGGAACTAGCTGAGGCAGGGCAGGAGCTGCTAAGACCCAGGTTGTGATTTGGGAGCCCCGTGAGGTGAGGAGTCAGGAAGAGTGGCAGCGGCACCATATACTGCACACCTGTGACTTTCTGGGCAGCTTGATGCTGGCTCACTGGATTCTCATGCAGTGCACATGGCCACGTGGCCCTGGGCCCTGGGCCCAAGCATGGGCCAGTTGCCCAAAGCAGCTCACACAGATGGCAGGTGGAGCCAAGAAGCAGGCCCAGGTCTACCTGATGGCCAAGACGCTGCTGCGCGAGTGCAGTCTGAGGGATGCCCTGAGAGGCTGGTTTGTATACCTCGGCCCAGTGGCCTGAACTCTCAGGGAGAGGCATCTCCTCCAAAGTCAGTAAGCACACATTACGCAGGAGTGTGACAAGCTGGTGTCTGAAGGGGTTACAGGGAACCAGGCCCAAACCTGTTAAGCCCTCTAAAGTTTCTTTCAATTCAGCAACTTTCCCAATCTGTGCTCCATGGAAATCCAAATTGCACTGCTACTCAGCCCCTGGCCTTC